AAGATTGTTCTAACACCTGCTGAAAACTTGTGTTTTCTCCCTAGGATCCAATGAATCATCACAACACAGGGAAAATTATTCATGGGGCAAGGCAACCTAGAGAATTTTTAAATTCTACTCACAATTCAGCCTCTTTAAAAAACAAACACTATGAAAACAATGTTTGCACACAGGCGTCATTCGAGTACATTTACAAATGGAGGAGTGCCTTCCTAGCACACCAGATATTAGCAATGTGCATAGTAGAACTTCCCATAATGGCAGCAAAGATTTCTAAAAATTCACTTAACTAACTTAATGGAAAAGATGACATCAATGGGTTAACTCTCATTCCTACTTTCTGGTTGGTGCATTTTTCACTGAGTAGGCATATTTGGAAGTCAGAACCTTTTCCGAGGATTGGGGTCTACAAAAAAAAAATTCAAAAACATCAGTAATTAATATGAGTAGCAGAAAGAATCTTATGTAGCAGCCTGTGAAAGCTAATCAGAAAGCTGGTAATAATGAAGTCTTCAAAAAATAAAACAAAGACACAAAGAAGTTCATTTCTTTTCTTTTCTCAGTACTGAGGCTTGAACCCAGGAGCTCCATTCCCAGCCTTTTTTCATATTTTGAGACAGATTCTCAGTAAGGTGTCAAAGGCTGGTCACAAAGTCATGATCTTCTTGCCTCGGCTCAGCCTCACTGTGAGCTCTGTTTGCTGTAATTCCATGTGAAATAAACACATCCAGCAGTGATGGCTACAGGACACCACCTCAATGCCTGATGGCCATGGAAAACCTGGGCAGCACTAAAAGCCTTTGGCATAGGGCTAGATGTGCAGTCTGGAGCCACAGGAAAAGTTCCATGTGACTCCATATTTGAACACATGGGAAAATAGGCAGGCAGGCAGCTCAAGATCTCAGCAACTATGGGGCTTTTTATTTTGGACTTGGTAGATGTTTGCAAAACCATAATGACATCTTTTAAACCTTGAAAAACAGATAATACAGACACAGATGGATGGAGAAGTCATTTATTTTGTTGCCAGCCATAAGCAAAGGTAGGCAAATACAGCCATACTGAGCAATAGGGCTGACATTGGAGCTAAGGCCAGACTCTCCTTGGTAAAGCTTTCACTGTTTCCATGTAGAATGTGCATAGTATCCTCCATCATGGTAAGATGTCTTTTTCATACTGACAATTCAACCATTAGGTGAAAAGATAAAAAATAGATTATTTACTCACTTTTATTAAGTGACAGTACAAAAATGCTGGGATGCACGTCAGAAATGGAGTTGTGTTTAGGAATAAGAGGAGGTTGGCCTGAAGAGTGTGTTCCATGGATTCAGTGAGGACCTGCAGGACGTAGGTCCAAGTCAACTTGTCTGGGTTGACTTCTGGGTGCTTTTTGTTTATTCTTTTTGGGGGTCTGTTTAAAGAAATTCGGATTTTAGATTTTAATTTTGCACCTTTTATTAGTACAGGTTTGCAGTACAAAATGATTAAATCCACTGTGAGATGTTGGTACATGTACATAACACACCTTAATTCTTTTTACTTATCCTGCTTTCCTTGTCTTTCCCATACTTCCATCTCTTGCTCCCCTTCCTATTTGCAAAAGAGCCATCTCCCTGTTTATTGTTAAATTAACTAAAAAGCTCAAGAATCAAAAATAAGTAGGCCAGGGCAAAAGGAGGGCAGGGATAAGGGGAAAGAATGAGAACAAAGACCTGTCCTGTAAAGGTACAAGATCCTAATAATGAATGCAACTGTACTGTATACCTAAAATGTAAACTCAATGAAAAAAAAAAAAAGTAGGCTTGCAGAAATCTACATTTAGTGAGTTAGTTATTTTAAGATATTTCAATGTCAGCACTCATCTTTTGCTTACTAACAAGTGGCAGAAAAACTATACCTTTATAACTTTTTAAAAAGTATTTTGTTTAATTTCCTTCAGACAAAGCCACACCCCCTGTTGCCCCACCCCCACCCCTTGCCAAAAAGAACAACCTTTTGGCTTTTGAGGAGCCTGGAACTTTTGTCGTCTCAGTCTACCTGCTCTGCTCCTTTCATGCCCTGGCCTCTCCGTGTCTTAGAAATCCCATGTGAATTTCTTTTAATGAATTTCAGACAGACTAGATCTTTATCCCTTCCTTAGGTTTTCAGTCTAACCCTCTAGATTTATATTCCTCCAACCAGTAAGTAGTATGTCATGCAAATCGTGTTACTGAGAGAATTGAGTTCATTTTTATAAGATATTATAACAGTGACTAATTCATATTTAGCATAAATTAAATTTCAGTGTTATTACTTTTTAAATATCGATGTTGTTATTATTTTCCAAATAATAGCAGAATCTTCTGGGATTAATTCTCTTTCTTTTCATTCTAGGTTTCTCAAGGTGATCTTTTTGTTGTCTACGTGGATTATTGGATGGTGTGCTCAGGCAAGGCTAACAACTCCCATTATTCTGTCAGAGAGTATTAGTGATTGTGAGTTGGATGGTTGGACTTCTCCCTATTCTCCTCAGAGCTGATCACAATTGGATTTAATGAGTAAGTCGAGTTGCTGGTCTTGTAAAGCTGAGGCAAAGCTTTGACCCAAGAGTGGCTCTTGAATGAGTCTCTCCCAGAAGCAGCCATTTTCCTGCCCTTTTGCACTTCAGCATTGAGCATTCAGTCCCACCCTCCTTGAATTTTACTAATTTACACTTTGCCATTTTAACAGAAGAGGTCACTTCCTTTTTTTCACTTCCATAAGAATCAAAATTATTTTTTTTTCTTTTAGCACGCAAGCCACTTTGGGTTTTGCTTTCTAGGAAAGTTAAGAAGACATATAAAAATTTTTATGTAATTAAATTATAGAGAAAATTGATGCTACCCCCTTGCCTTTTTTTCTTCCCTCTATTTGTATTATTTCATCAATGAATTACAACTTAAGGTAAACATAGGAGGAAAAATTTTGACCAGTAAACCTTTAAAAAGGTCAAAAACTAAAATGAAAACAAACATAAACATAATAACTCAAATCTGCCCTTAATTGATAGCATTAGAAATTAATGCTAATAAATAAATAATAAAATTAGACTGACCAGACAAATATCCATAGATCATTACTTCCTGTATAATTTGCTGCTAATTGTAGACATTGTCATCAATAAGGTGTGTACCCACCTCAGAAATTTCAAGTATAGCAAGTATTCAATGTTTAAATAAGTATTGAATAAAAATGATATTTAGCAAAATAAGAAGCATTTGTCTACTAAAGATAAAATAATGACAAATTGGGAAATTTCTACACCTACAGAGACAATTATAAACTTATAATTAGCATCTCAAGACTACTGATGATTTGATACCTGGGGGCATGTGGCATGATAAGAGGTCACTGTTGAAAACAATAGTCCTCATACAAACTTACTAGGGGCAAAGAATTTGGAATATTTATTATTTTGCCAACAAAGTAAACATTGCCTCTAGAAAACTGGGCTTGCTTTCAGTGAGTGTGAAGAGTGGGCTGGGGACATTCTGTCACCCGAGAGCAGAGGGTATTGAGAGATATAATGACCACCTTGTGGGTGAGCTGATGCTGGAGAAATAACTGTCTTGGAATTAGAATCTCCACACTCATACAAAGAACTAGGATTCAAGCTAGGGTTAATCTCTACAGTTTATAGACCACTGTAGACCTTGGGAGAACATGGTAGAAAAAACAGATGAGGCCTACAGTGACCTTAACCCTGTGGCCCCAGGGAACCACAACATGAATGTGTTTTTACAAGGAGAAACTTAGGTGCTGAAACCTGCAAAAAAAAAAACCAGGCTAATTTTATTTGCCATCATATCTCAAGATGCTGTGATACACATCATCTCTGTAAAATAAAGAATAGTGAACCAAGCAGCACAACTGAAATGCTGGAGACAGGTATCTGGATACCTGAGAGAAGAGAATTGGAGTGACTTGAAGGGATTAAAAGAAAGAAATCTGGAAGACAATGTAGGTTGATTTTTCCATGCACAGATTTTCTCTTTAATAACACTGTTTTCTACATGAGGTTTATATCTTTGATATATTGAAAAGTTATAGGAACCTATTAACTCTAATCTATTTAATTTTTTATTCTGTTTAGGGTATTCATTTACACATGACAATGTTTATTTATAACCATACATTATCATGGTTTTAATTTATAACAACTTTCAAACTAGTAAGCTCTTCAGACTTTCATAATGTGTTAGGCAGAAACAGACAATAACGTTTATACTTTGTTGTCTATAATTCAGGAATACTACTGAGGGTAAAATGACTCTTGGAATCATATGCTTAATGCCATTGCTATTCTAGTATTCCACATAACTTTATAACATTTTATTTCTATAATGGCAGGATATGGTAAGAATTGTTTTGTCCTACTTCTTGTAATTTTGCTGTTAAGATGAATATTACAGTCTCGCATGGATCAAAAAAAAAAAAAAGCCAATTGACCTGGGTACAAAGATTGACAAACATTTTTTCTAAAAGTAGGAAATTGAATCAGTGATTCACTTACTCAGTATTTGAAAAAAAAAAAAAGGAATAAAAAAATTATAAAATTCACTGAAAATACAACACGAACCATGTAAATCCAGAGGCCACATAAATTTGCGTATAATTCCAGACTGAAAGGACATTTAAAAATTAGGGCCCAAATTGGACCAGAAATCCAGAATACAAAATTTACTAATTTGGAATGAAGACGGTTTAAAATTCCATTTTGCGGGAGGAATATCGGTGAAGAAAATGAAATGTGGTAACCTGCTAAATGTACTGACATCCTTGGAGGCGACAACACAAACTCTTCTCTTAAGCAAAGGAGTGAAGGTCAAGTCTTCCACAGGAAGTGTCCATGCCTCGTTTCAAAAAACAAACATCTGCAATGGTCGCCGGGTTAGGGCAGAATATAAGTTCTCCAAAGACACAGTGACGGTACTGAAAGCATCATTCCGTTGACTTCTTCAAACTAAAAAAATGCATCTTACCGAATTCATCATACCATCAATGCAGAAAAGCTTCCGACGTGGAACGACACCACCTGGACTGCGCCCCAGGTGGTTCACCTCCTCCTTCCCGCGGGTCCTCCCAGCCCAGCAGCGCGGATCCTCCCGCCCGCCGAGCCCCTAG